AAAAAATTGTCATTCCATACATTTGTCGGGTCAAATAAACAGAACGACTTGTTGCATTTGTTTTTATATATTCTGACAATTTAGCTTACAAGGTTTTCTCCTTGTTAACAAAACACATCTTACCTTTTATAATTGTACCATGGGTAGAATATTTCCATCTCCACATAAAGGAACTTCCCATTATTCGGTAGTGAGGAATTTTAAGATACACTGGATTTAATAAATGTGGTGCAATGTAAACATACTATAAGGCATGAACTTAACCACCCTGGGTCTTGTAAATGTAGTGTTATATATTTGTACTTTTTTAGAGCACATCTAAACTAATAAATCCTCTCTATTTCAAACGTCAATTTCATAGCGTATATGTCATGTTAATCCTGTTTACAAATCTAGTGAATTATATTTGGCGTATAAGCTATGAAATTGACATTTTAGATCGAGTGGATTTCACAATCTAAGCACACTTTTACAACCCTAAAGAATACACGTTTAGACTACATTAAGATCTATTAATAAGGTCGCCCAGCAAGGGTGTCTGCTGTTTTTCCACAAGTCTATTTTTTTTTTACTTTGTTTACGTTTTGATAATGGAAGTTAATTCTGGAAATCGAGATAAATAGACGTAGATTTAACACGATCTAAAGGGCTAATGCCATAGACAGACGACAGCCTTTTTTGTAAAATTCGAAACGAAACAATTCGAACGAATTACTGTAAAAAAATGTTTCTTGATTAAAAACAAAAATAAATGACACATTTTTCAAAACCAAAGAGTTTGGTCGTGAGTCACTCGAATTCGTTCGTTTAGAATTTTGCGAAAACAGGCTGTTAATTTGCATTAAAAATTCCTTAATTTGCAAACTCAGTTTGATTTTGTGCATTAACAACATATAAAAATGAGGATAATGTACAAGTTAATTTGAATTAAGGCTGTTAATGCAAATTAAGGCTGTCGTCTCTCTAGGCTATAAGCCATGATGCAACAATAATACGGTGATGTATCAAACAAAAACCTTTGTATTTGTCTCGACCATCTGTCAAATTTTTCCCTATAATATTTCACGTGGTTGGCAACATTGCACATCGAAATCAAGTAGAAATTACGTACGTTGACAGTTAATCGAGTCATCAGCTGCGCTAAATGGACTACCTATTTATTGTACCATGGGCGAAGCAGACACGATAACACTAACGCTTATCGTTTCCTCGTGGTTGTTGTATTTTCGATACGCCATGGATGACTCAATGCGAATATTCTGCTTAGCCCTCAAAAATTAAATTGAAATGAAACACATTTTCACATTAAAAAACTATAGTCTAAACGCGCATTATTGGCGCCTTTTTATTGTTCTATTTCACAAAATGTCCATGTCGGTAAAAATCCAAATTTTTAAAAAAAACTATAGTCTAAACGCGCATTATGGCGCCTTATTATTGTTCTATTTCACAAAATCTCCATGTCGGTAAAAATCCAAATTTTTTCGTAAGATAGTACCATGATGCAATAATAAGGTGATGTATCAAAACAAAAACATTTTTTTTTGTCTCCATTATCTTTCAAATTTTTCCTTATAATATTTCAAAAATTTGGCAGCATTGCACATCGAATTCAAGTAAAATTTACCACTTTGACAGTTAATCAAGACATCAGCTGCTCTAAATGGACTACCTATTCATTGTGCCATGGATAGTACTTACGACTTTCCAATGCGTAACGTTAGCATCACTCTTCTTGTCAACAATCTTGTTTATTCAACGCTGTGAACCCCCCTTGTATTCAATGGAAATGGCAGCACTTCTATTTAATTCATTCCGTTGCATTTCTGCGGAAAAAGTTCAACTCTTCAATTTGTGGAGAAAAAGTTTGCCAGCAAATATTTAAGTTGATCAGAGTTATTGTTGCAGTTGCGAAAATCCACGATAGTTACAGGTAAATATTAACTTTAAATTAGTTATAAAATTAAATTAGTTATAACATTTTCTCGTTCGAAACGAGTTAAAAAATGGGCAGCCGGTGGGCAAAATATTGATAGATATCTATTGGCCTATTCCAGAACCTGCAAGACTGTACAATTTTTTACTACGATAACAATTTTTCCTTTATGATATCGGAAAAATAATCAAAATTAGTAGATTCTTGCAGTACGGGAACAGGCCATATATGTATTATTGAACAGATAAAACGATGATAATAATAATGTATTGTGGATGCAATATTTATTGGGTTTTGTTGTTCTCCGATGTCACTTGCAAATTACCTGGAAAGCTTACATGCGTTGTCCGTTCAATTTATTGATCACCAAAGTGGAGCCTTGGTTTTCGATTACAACATATACATATTTTATGGGATATATAGGTCTTCAAAGTTCAACGGCATTTTAAATATATTACTTTTGAAAAAATGTTCGTCAGACTGAATTTTGCAACAGGCCCCGTGTTTTGGTAAAATTTCAGTTTAATATATATTTTATTAGCAAAAAATTAAGACAGCCCTTGTCCATATGTATTCCCAACCTTAAATATCATGATGGAATTGATTGTACATATATGGGCGGGTATTATCAATGAAAGGCATCTATACTTTACTGCAGCAATCTGGCAACAACAACATCAACTCAACAAGCAAATTTTTATTGTTTATGCAGTCGCAAATAACTTGTCAATAAGTTCGGAATATAAATAACACCTCGGTGGATTGAATCCATTGCTCAGAAATCATTAAGTAGCTAAACAAGGTATGCTGCATATATCAATAGAAAGTATTCTAATCGTTAATCAATTTGTGGAAGAATTTGTTTTTATTGTTTGTCCCCAACAACAAAGTAAACTGAGAATACATCATATATGTGTGTGTGTACGGTTGTGCTTTAACGATCAACAGTGCATAGAAGTTGCGTATTAAACAAAACAATTATGGACAATAGCACTTTTTGTATTTCGTACTTAAGTGTTTTGTAGCTAATCGGCCAAATTCCACTATAGTTCTGCATCGGAATGAATATAACAAATATATACTGATTTGCAATTGTATTAGTGTTAGGTTCGATCTCATGATTGACCTTTTGTTCGTTTTTATTTTGTTTATGGAAATCCCCTTTTACAATGAACACCGGTATTAGCATTGCCATATACAATTATAAAATAAACACAAATAAAAGTATTGCCAGACTGTATTTAGAACAAATCAATTAAGGAACTGACAACTCGACGATAAAAAATAGTAAAAAGATTGTCAACTGTTAAATGTCAACTAAATAGTCTAGTTACTGAATTAAGGGGCATTTGGACTATGCGTTCCTAATCTACTCGTGGTACTAAAAAAATGATTATTGAAATCAAAACCAAAAGAAAAATGGTTTCTTGATAGTAATACGGAAGTTATTTAATAAATTGAGGATATATATTTCGAATCTTTTTTTGAAAATTATTTACTTTTTTATATATATTGAATTCTTATTGAGTAGAAATTCTCATTTCAAAAATTATTTAATAATTATTATGTAACGTTTTTAAGCTGAATTTAGTGTTTTGAGTTTTCATTGTATAAATCCTCCTACCAAAAATGTTCATCATTGGTCCACCTTTTCTGGTATTTTTGCCAACCAAATTGTTTGTATTTTTGGTTTCATGTTTGGCCTGTTCCCGTACTGCAAGAATCTACTATTTTTTTACTACGATAACACTTTTTTTCCTTTATGATATCGAAGAAAATTTGTAGTAAAATCCTTGTGTAGATTCTTACAAAACATTTGGATATGCAAGCCAGTTGTGTACAAAATTTTCCATTATCAGAAATATTTTGTCATTGTCATGTGTGCACTTTTTAGAACTACAATATAAAATTGATAATACATTATAGTATCCGATATATGGTAATCCGGATATTTTACAACCCATTGTATCCTCAATAAACTTAACTAACTTAGTATTTTGACTCAAAAATCCGGATTTGTAAAGATACGTTACTTTTTATTTTAATAAAAAAATAGTTGCAAATTTAATTGAAAATGGTACCAATTGTATTCAAAGTTCATATTTTTGAAATTAATAATTTTCATTTTAAATAAAAACATAAAAATAATTAAATTATCACCAAATTAATATAAATTTAAACCAATTAATAAAACTTTTTCTGATAATCCAAAATTGTTTGTAATTTGGTTTTATTGGTTTCATGTTGTGTAAAAAATTATCCGGAAATTGTTAGTTTTTACTGTATGTACTATTATCAACTAAAGTGATTTATAATTTTATATTTTTTAAATTATTATTTGGTACAAAATATCCATAAAAAATAGTATAAATTGGACCAAATTTTGGGGTAATCAACCTCCAAAATTTTCAGCCAAATTGGATTTAATTTGATGTTTTGTTTGCTCATTGGGTGTCAAATTTTTTTACATCATTTTCAGCCAAATTGGATTTAATTTGATGTTTTGTTTGGCCATTGGGTGTCAAATTTTCCTAATAAGTCCATGTTTTTTTAATTGTCCCATGGTCTAATTATTGTAAGGTAGATCATAGCAACCATCTGATTAAAATTTTTTCATATTTCGAATTTCATATTTTGTGTATGAGTATATATACACTAAATTAATTATATTACTAAACTCAAAGTCACATTTTGTCGGGTTATACCTGCAAAAGATTATTGTTTATTATTGTTTAAATATTTTTCTCTTGACATACCCAAAAAGTCACTTATTTTATTAAATAGCCAATGGCAACCCTATACGCTTACGTTTCGCCCGTAAATGTCACAACAAAACAGGGCACTTTTGTGACGTGGTCAATGTTGTCGTGGCAGTTTGACAGTTCGAAAACGTCAATTGAGAAAGTGTTTTTTTTTCCAACGAGCAGCTAGCCGACTAAGTGACAGATCAGAGAGCGACCTGCAGTGCATTTCTATTAACAAATTTTATCGAACAAGTGTTGTGTTGCGTGTCAGCGGCAATAAAAAGTGAATTTTTCTAAATTAAAACAAAACCAGAAAAAAGAAATAAATAAAACAAAATGCGTCAATTCGTCAGTGCTTTGTTGATCTCCTTGTTCGTTGTCTCTGCCTATGGCAGCACCGCCTGTACCAGCCCAAAGGCTACCGTCACATCGTTCAGCACTCAGGATGCCACAATTTTGACCCAGTTGGCTCATGTTGGTGAATTCACCTTGAAGTGTGGCAATGGAGCCAAACCCACTTTGTTTGCCGAGTTCCCCTGTGGCAAAGTTGTTCCCGTTGCTCAAGTTGGTGATGAAAAATACCAGGTAAGTCGAAACAACAACAACACCAACAAAGTTTCACTAATGCCTACGTCAACAATTGTTATTTTTTTCTGTTGTTTTTGTTGTAGGTCAGCTGGACTGAAGAAATCAAGAAGGGCTCCAGTGGCAATGTTGTAGTACGTCTTTTCGACGAAGATGGCTATGCTAACTTGCGCAAGGTACAACGTGATGGCGGCAAGGTTTCCAATGTCAAGTCTTTGGTTGACATTACCATCAGCACCAAGAGTGCCTACAAGGGTCCCTGGGTTAAGGCTGAACTTGTTGCCGCTTTGATTGTTGGCGGTATTGCCTACTTTGCTGTCACCACCAAATCCAAGGTGCAACAATAAAACAAACCACACACGCACACCCAACAAAATACCAATGAATGTGGTGGCATTTGGAAGTGATTTATTATTTAATATAGAGATTTCTTTTTTTAATTCCATACATACACAACAAAAAACACAGACTACATATTTAAATATATAATTTTTGAATGAAATTCATTCACCCTAACGACATCATAATTTCGATTATTTCTATATTCTCTCAAATAAGAAGAAGAACGCAACTATGAAATTTACACCTCATTACAAATTACATTTAGTGTTATCATCAAGTGATACCAGGAGATGATGTAGACAATTATGGCCAACATTCATCTCCCCCGTTACTTTTGTAATTTAACCAACTAAGTGTCGTCGTTTTTAAGCAGCATTCTTTCCATGGAATGTGTGTAGTTATTATGAAAATAAAAAAGTAAACAACATTTTTTATAAGACCCACAAAAAAGTGTATTGTATTTTTTGCTTTAGATATTAAGAAAGGTTTAAAATGAATTCTGGAGAAGGGAAACGTTTTTAGAGGTCTTCTATCGATAGAATGCTTTTGGTAACTGAAATATTACATAAAATTTTTATAAGACCCCTAACAAAATTATATATTTACCTTAATCCTTAAGAACCTTCTGTAGATAGGAAATCTTTTTAGGGTCTAAAAATTTTAAAAACACTGATAGCAGATATTATAAATAACCTTTAATAAATTTTCTGTGGATCTCCTTTATTTGATTCAAGACCATCAAAGAGGTGTTCTTCCTTCAAGAAATACTCAAAAATTTTAAGAAAACTCTCCTTTAGGTTATCGTCTTTAAGTAGAAGTTTTTCAATGGGGTTTATTATAGATTTCTATTAATAGATCTTCTATAGGCCAACCTAAATGTATTCCTTAGTTGGAAAGTATTTATCTTTTATATATAAAATAATTTTATGTAAATAGAAGTCCTTTATGTTATCTTCTGCAAATAAAGGCCTCTTGAAGGTGTTTGAAAGCTATTTTTAGAAGACTATTCGAAAATTTCCAGTATATAGGAAGACCTCTTAATTGTCTTTTTCTACAAATATAAGACTTTAAGCAATCCCGGAGGAGGTCTTCGACAGACACAAGGCCTTCAGGAGGTATTCCATAATGAGGAGATCTTTAAGAGGTCTTCGACCATCAGGAGTTTTTTATGATTCAATCAATTTTCTATAGACAAAAGATACTAGAGGTGTTCCATAGCTATACCTTTCAAATTAATTCTATTAATGTAAAACCGCCAAGAGCTCTATAGAAAGGGTTTCTATTCTTCACGTGGGTTTCTATAGCATAAAACTTCATACGATCTTCTACATTTTGAAAACCCTTAAGAGATTTTCAATGACCGAAGCCCTTTCAGAAGTCTTCTGTAGAATGAAGTTCTAGGGGTATTCTTCTTTAACAGAAATTCCATTAAGAGGTTTCCTATAAATTTAAGATTTTCAAGAGGTCTTCTATATATGGAAAATATTCAATATGTTTTCTATATATGGGATAGATTCAAAAGGTCTTCTATAGGTAGAGAATCAGCAACAAGTCTTCTATACATATTATTCCTAAGTCTGGGTTTATAGATGCAAATTTTTAAGCAACTCTGTTGCTGCTCTATACTATTCTTTTTTGTATTTCTTCCCCCTTGTCACTTTTATATCTCTCACTTCTAAGAACTCAGCCAAGTTGCTTACAAAAGTTGGATGTATAAACCCAGACTCAAGGATATATTTTTTATGTATTTCACATTCCATCTAACCTTAACAATATTCTAACCTCAAAAAATATTCTATTGGAGAGAAGGTCCTCAAGTGGGGTTTAATAGATAGAAGGTATTCTACAGATATATAAGGCTCTCCAAAGGAGTTCTTTGGGTGGAAGGCCCTCAAATGGTCTTTTGAAAAGATAGAAAACATTTTAACTGATCTTCTATAAACACAAAACCTTGGATAGAATACTTTCAAGAAGTTCTGAAAAAGATCTTAAGAGGTCTTCAATTGATGGAATTTTCTCAAAATACCATCTCTATATTCATGTGAAATCTTTTAAGATTTCCAAGAAGCCTTCTTTTATGGTCGTCTCTCGAAAAACAACTTCAAGATGTATTTTGGGATCTTAGCAGGTCGTCTAAATAAAATATCCTATTGGGGTTCTATTGTTAGGAACTGTTTAAAGAGGTTTTTTTAGGGATAGAATATCTACTTACGAGGGCAGTTCGGAAAGTTCTTAGCCTATCACAAAAAGCGCGGTATAAACAGAAAAAAGTTAAGTGTTTTGGAAACTTCCATCTCTCTTATGAACACATATTAAATTTTGTTTCGATCTGGCAACTCCTTCATGTAGAAACAGGTGTTCAAAAAATACACATCCGCAATTTTTTACAAGTAAAGCACGCATTTCCACTTTTTTCATTGTAAAAAATTGCGGATGCAATTTGACTGACAGCAAAGCCCAATATGGGCCTTGCTTTCAGAGAAGATGCTAATTGCACAGTTGGCAATGATGGCACAGGTGAAACCAGTGGTCCTCCTCCCGCTGCCCAGCTCCAAAACCATTTGTTGCTGCCGAGGAGGTGGTGGTCAGTCCCAAAGCCGAGGATGTTATCAGACCTCCGTCGGCTACAAAATTCGGCAAAACATTTGCCAATGATGTGTCAAATATACTGAAATCTATTCAAGGTTGAATTGAGGCATTAGATTAGAAATTTAAATATGTAATTGAGATATCCTTTTGAGAAGAGCTTCAAGAGGATTCCTTCATCATCTTCACCTTGATTGGACAATTCTTCTATATAGTTCGAAGATTACCTAGGAGATGCACTAATTTTAAAAAAACTAAAATTTGTTTAAGACATACAATATATTGTTTTTAATATTTTAACAAATTATATTTGTTCTATGTAAATACTGAGATACTTAATAAGAAAAAAAAAACAAAAGCATTATAAAATTAAAAGCGCATAGAATTTATGGCAATCTTGAGATTTTTTCAAACTGGTCATCTGAAAAAAAATACATCTATAAATATAATCCATCCATACACAATCGAAAAAAAAACATCTACAATTAATATCTTTCATTTACAATACAGCAATAGCTCGTCTCACTCTTAGTTACTAGAACCCATTACACCATTTCCAGTAGCCGAACCAGCACCACCACCAACTCCACCACCACCACTTGTTGCACTCAAAACAGCACCACCATTGACACTTGTTGTATTCTCATCATCCGATGATAAATCAATCATACCCTCCACCCTTGACGGCGACATAACATAGACGAAATGTTCCGATTGTGGTGGATCATTGATGTTACTGCCCACGGCTGGTGGTGGTGAATCTGTACTGTTTGTACAGTACTTTGTATTATTGATATTCATACCACCACCATCGCCATTCTCACAATTGACATTATCCAATTCCAATTCAATATCACTGACAATTCGCATACAACGCATTTTCGCCAGCGATTGGAATTTTGTCGGCATGGATCGTACGGAACGTGCCAGGCTCAAGAAAAATAACGTATTAGCATCTAGATCTCGATTGGCCTGCAATATGGCTGAAATTTCCAATTCTGCAGTTTTTAGACGTTTTGCCGGTGAGGGTCCTGCCCCAGCAGCTGAATTATTCGACGAAGAGGAGGGAGTGGTAATTGTTGTTGGTTGTGTGGATCCACCTACTACACCTCCTAGATTTGACTGAGCAAAATTTGTTGCAAAATTTGGCAAGAGATTGGCTGGTATTGTGGGAAAGAATCCATTGAGGGCAGCCGCATTCAGGCCCAGCGATGACAAAGCTGGTGAGGTGGATGTTATCGGAGCTGTTGTGGGCGAACTGCTGAAACTTAAATTTATGGCCGCCGGAGTTTGATGGGGTGATGGTTGCACCCGTCGTATTTTTGTTACCAAGGGGGGATTTAAACGATTGGAATTTGCTGTACTGGCCGTGGATGATGACGAAGATGCTACTGAGGAGGAGGGCGTAACTTGAGCACTTATATTGGGATATATGTGTAAATTGGAGGGGGTAATTTGTGTGGTACAGATGCTGCTTGAAGATGTCGACGATGATGAGGAGGCTGCAATATTTGTCAGTTCCTTTTTGAAGGTATCAGCCGAGGCGAAAAGTTGCGGCTCTATGATGAGACAACCCACGGAGCTGGTGGCACTACTAGAGGGCATTGGTATGGGTCCTTTGGCTGACAGTTGGGGTAATGCAAATATTTGTGATGCCATCGATGAGGGAGTGGTCAAGGCGGAAATAGAACCATTCGATGTGTAAATTGATGACGACGTGGATGATGATGGTGTTGAAAGTGGTATGGAGACTCCCAAAGATGACGTGGAAGAAGTGGTGGTGGAGGAGGAATTGGGTGTATTGGAATTTCCCATGCCACCTCCCAAAATGGGCTTTGCTGTCAACGAGGGTGGTAATTGTACAGTTGGCAACGATGGCATTGGCAAAACAAGTGGCCCACCTCCAGCTGCCCCAGCACCAAAACCATTTGTTGCTGCCGAGGATGTGGTGGTCAGCCCTAAAGCCGAGGATGTTATCAGACCTCCACCGGCTACAAAATTCGGCAAAACACTTGCCAATGATGTGGCAAATATACTGGCGGCATTTGTTGCATTTGCCAAAGAGGTTTGCTTAACATCGTCATCGGTGGAATTACTGGTTGCCTTGGCCAACACCTGAAAACCCAAATCGCATTCGGTTTCCTCCTCGTCTTTATTCAAAATTATACCATTATTGGATCTGAAATGTACGAACATGTCATTAGAAGATCATGGAGGAATTTATTTTGTTGTTGTGTGAGGACTTACCTGCCCGGCCCCTGATAGGGTTTTAAAAATTCCATATGATCGGCATGTGCCCAAAATTGATATTTCTTAGATGTCTTGGAGCCAACACGGAATGAGCGTAAATATTTGGTATAGCTGTCGCGTAAATTTTTCCATTTCCGTTTGGAGGCATCTGGAAATGTAAAAAAGAAGAAAATTAAGTTAGAAATCCTTGGAGAGGGGAGATATGTAGATGCAATCAATTTGAAATGTTTTAAAACTTCCGATATCACAAACAAATTATTAATTTCAAAGACTTATTCAAGAGTCAATTAGTGGACCTCATTGTGAACCAATACTCTACAGGGGATATGAAATGAAAACCTGAACTTCGCATATCCCTACTGAATCATAAACTTACCTCCCCCCTCACCACCTTTTAACCAATTTGTCTTCGAATTTTATCGTAGGTGTTAGTAGAAGAAAATTAGGAATGGGGGCTATGTATTTTGAGAGTGGCGACAAGAGAAGAGAGTACGATAGCCATCTCTTCTTGATAAATATGTATCAAACGAAAACATGCATGCTTCCTGTCAAAAGTTGAAATGTTTTGTTTTTCACCTGCTTTGTTTTCATATTCATTTTTATTGAATTTTTATTTTGTTTTGATTGCAACGAATAATGCAAATTTTGTTCGTACGTCTCACTCTCTATCTCTCACCATCAGTGATGTCAACTGTAATTTTCTATACAATTAATTAAAGGGGGTTTTCGCGTTTTTTGTACGGTTAGAAGTTATTACTGAAATTTTCATCAAATAACGTATGTGTGTACAGTTTTGTTGTAGAGCTTATATTTGACACGCAGCTAGATATATATATATATATATATATTTTGGATTACATATGTTATGACCTGATTATGGACGACACATTTTAAAATTAAAAATTTTATTCAAGTTTTGTGATTCTAAATATATAGAAGAGGGCAACAATGTGTACAGTACCAGTTTATGTGTACAATCCAAATTATTATTTTTTTTTATTTTCGCTTCGTATTCGAATCGTACCTTCAAAATCAACGTCAAATTATGTCCATATCCTATTTACGACAGTTGCATTACATATATGCACAGAAAATCTTTACCCCTATATAACATCCCCAACCAATTTTAGGTATTACTGCATTTTCGAGTCCTCAGAGGGTTAAAAACCCCGCCTCACTTGTTTCCAGTATAGGTCCACGTTTTTGCACAGACTCTATATAAAGGTTCTATCTTGTTCTATTGGCATTTTAGGTATTTTGAAGATCCCTAGGCTAGTCTATCCCATAACAAAAGATACCTGGACCATATTCGAACTTAGGTATGTAGTCGGCTTCGAAGTAGTTAAATATTTTATATACCTTGGTACCGCCAAAAATAAAACTAATGATATCAGTTTCGAAATTCGGAGAATGATAGTGTTGGCCAACATATGCTATTATGGTCTAAGTAATCAGTTTTCAAGCAAGACCACCTCCCGCCATACCAAACTCACACTTTACAAGACGCTGACACTACCCGTGCTGTTACATGGATCTGAAGCATGTGTACTTGCGCAAGCAGATGAGGAGAAAAATTCTCCGAAAGATCTACGGGTCGATCTGCGTCGATGGTGAATATCGGCGTCGAATGAACCACGAGCTTTACAATCTATACGCGGAAATCGACATAGTCAGTCGTATCGAGCGGCAGCGACTACAGTGGCTAAGTCATGTGCAAATTAATGAGAATGCCCCAGCTCAAAAGGTATATAAAAGCGATCCTACTGATGGTTCACGCAGAAGGGGAAGGCCATGAATTAGATTGATATTGATATGTTTTCCCTTAATATTCAGTATTTTAGGCACTTTTATAGCCCCTATATAAAGGAACCTCTTAAATTTTCTCCATTTTGAGAATACTTATCAACCAAATCGTCGGTGATTTTATATTTTGGTTCCTCATTAGTTAGGGAATTTCTCAATATTGGCCCCAAAGTTCCTATACATTTTAGATATTTTTCCTTGGCATATTTTCCAACCAAAGATCTTATAATTGGACAGATGTTTAATATAGGCCCAAACGTCGACATATCTTCGTATAATGGTCACGTAGTATTTTGGAATTTTTAAAACGAAGTGGACAAAAAAAAAAAAAAAAAACTAGCAAACAATTTTCACATATAAAGGTCCTACTGGAAGGAAGGTTATTATATCCGAATTTTCCCATGGTAAAACCAGCCTCTTTTTCATTAGATTAAGTTCCTAGCCCAGTTTTCAAATCTGAGTATCTGAAACTTTACAATGGCATAGTTCCCATGGAATGAAACAATGGTAACAATGTATTCCAACTCTTGTGATGATGCATGGCGCCCAACATAGGACAATTGTGATTAAAGGCAGTTTTGGGAAAATATTTTAGACAAAGTTTTTATACAAAATATGTTATTTTATTCGAAAATCATTTGTGATGTGTGCACCGCTTAATATTCCATAGTATTTAACCTTTGAGCCCCGATTTTTTCCGTGATCATAGGACGATTTTCTGTATGCAGATTGAATGCAACTATCATAAATAGGATATGAACAAAATTTGACCTCGCTACATTCCTGCGATCCGGAGAAGATTCATTACATTCTTTCCGAGAAATAAAAGTCCAATATCAGGCAAAGCAAATGGTATATCGCGAAAAATCACTGAAATTACTTTTTACCACTAATAAATAGTTGTTTTTTTATAAACTGGGAATCAACCTAACTATTTTGGACATAACAAAACTTTTTCCTTCTAAAGATTATTTTGTGTCTGAGTGTAAAAAACCGCTGAATTGGCATCATTGTATGGCCATTGCAATTCTATGCTGCCATGATGACAGTTACTCATTTGCGAACATCCTCTCTCGCGATTATAACTCAAACTATGGTTCTTGGATTTGTTATTGTTTTGCATTTGTTTTCTATTTTGTTTTTCTTGTATTTTTTTTTCGTTTTTTGTTGATATTCGTCATTTCGTTCTTTCGCGCATTTAGATACATTTTCAAACAGTGCGGACTGATGTGTATCTGCAGATAAATAGGTTTTCGTGTTGTTGCAAACGTGTAACGTAAATGGTTGAAGGGGGGAGAGTGTGGTACTTTTTTTGCATGATTGTCATGCAGAGACAAACAAAACAAAAACCAAATCACACACACATGTACACACATAGCAGCAGAAGGTATACCTTAACGAAAACAAGCGGTCGGTCGTTCGCTCGCTCGCCACTAACAACTGAGTGCTGCAGTTTGGTCGTCGTTCAAGTCAATTTTTGCACTAAATTTTCTGCGGAGAATGAATGTGTGCAGAAGAAGGGAGCAGAAATACACTAAGGCAAATGTGTCGAATTGAGGGGGAGGGGAGTGAGAGCAGGAATGCCGCTCAATAATTATAGGGTTTATCAATTGCAGTTTTTGTTTGTTTGTTGCACCTACCCACTGATAAACCAATTTCTTTGGCAATTTCATTCCAAACTTTCAATTTGACTTCCACGTTCTTGTAATCCGGATGGTGGGTGTTATAGACGACATCGTGCTTCTTGACAATCTCAATGAAATCGCTGGTATTATCCGATGTTGTGGAGGATTCACTTGTACCGCCACGCTGAGTGGTTCGTAGGGGTTTGTTAAGGGCGGATATGGCATTTGCGTTAGCGGTGGCGGCGGCTGTGGTGCTGGTGTTGCAAGAAGAAGGGTCTTGTTGGGTACCCATTGTTTCTATGTTGTGATGAGTACAGAGGGCGGCGTAGTGGCCACCACCTTCTTCAATGCTCTTCTGTTGTTAGGTATCCGAAAATATACTATAATGGTAAGTTGTTGTGGTTGTTGGCGTTTTTCAATTTTCTAGAACGCGAAAATTGTTGTTGTTGTCATTCATTGATTAAATGGAAGCGAACCGAGAAAATTGTTGAACCGACGACGACTAGTACACAGAGTCCGACAGTCAGCCAACCAGTCAAACCATTAGTCGTACGTACATGTAACAGCCAGTAGCTTATATATGTATATACACACACATACATACACACAAACACACACCGCGACGCACTAGCTCGGTGCTGTGGTGCTATTAGTTTACCGTAGTTGTTGTTGTTGGGGCTTTTTTATTGTGTTGTTATTCCTTTTTCGCCGAGCACCCCGCGTCTACCGTTTTTGCCGATACCGAAGAAAAATCCGTTGCGTTTTACGTTATTGATGCGACCGCTCCGACAAAAGTTGGACACTTGAATGAGAGACCAACGATTTTTAGATGTGCGAAACAGTCAGTCTGCCAGCAAGCCAGGCGGCAGCAGCGAAGCTGGCAGGCCAGGCAGACATCCAACAACAACTACCGGGTAGGCATTGATGGACGCGAGGCGACTGCCAACAGCAGCCGCCACCGTTACAGAGCAGAGTTCTCTGTGTTAGGTACATAGGCAGAAGAGCAACTGCGCCGTGCCACTATGCGAACCTGGCTACAAAGGCTGCGGCGGTTCAGAAATGCAGCAGGAGCACAGGCCTGTTTGTGTGTGTGCCTGGAAGGCCTTACACAAAATAGAGGAGGAGTAGCAGGAACAGCAGCAACATTGTATTCCTTCGACTCTTGGTGATGATGATGTTGATGCTTGGCGCCCAACATTGGCATAGAAGCTCGTACTTCTTGCCCAGTCAGTCTTGCGTTCACATTGTCGTTGAAAGCAACAACAATAATAGCAACTAAAATAAACAAACAACCAGCAACATCAACGATTCCTCTTGCCTGCCTGACAGCCAGCCAGCCGGGCAGCCATCCTCCTCCTCCATTGACTTCACAAGCCAGCCAATCTCTGGCTTGTTGTTTTTTTTTAATCGACACAGTAGTGCTGCTGCAGTTTGAACAGCAACGACAACGAGGAGCAACTAACCAAGCAAGCAATCAACCAAACCTACCGACCGTCCGATTGACTGACTGAACGACGATGAGCAACTAACAGAATATCTCTACTTCGTCGTTGTCGTCTGTTGTTGCAAAACAAAACATCATAACATAGAGTAGAACGGTTGGCGGCAGGGCCACTACTACGACAACTACTATCCACCATTCAAGACACCATTGCCAGCACACCACACCAGCCAGCAACCAAACAAAATATTCAAAGCTATGCCTCCACACATCCCTCCCTCCTTCGCTCCCCTCCTCCATCGCGTTCTCTGGCCATTCCGCACATACTACGTCGTCGTCTTCTTCTTCATGTCATAGCCAAAACACCACAGTATTGCATAAAAATAACAACAACAACAGCAACACCGAACACTGCGCTGGGTGATGTGTAGTGCAAAAGGAGTAGAGCACCACAGAGTGAGAGAGGGGGAGGAAAGAGCGCGGGCATGGTCGACAATAGCAACAATGGTAGCCGTGGCGGCCCATGGCAGCGGCGACAACAACGACACCTCATTAACCATCCCAGCAGCTCCCCCAGCCTAGCTATCTATCTGAACGATGAATACACCGATGCATGCACAGGCTGGCTGCCTGCCTTGTTGGTTGGTAGGCAGTCGTCGTCATACCATACAGCACTGGTGGGGTGAGAGAGGTTTTTCGTATTCCTAAAAAACAGCAACAACAACAACGCAAAACTCACATCAACATCATCATCTATGGCGACGTTCCCGTCATCGTCGTTGTACGTTCGGTCGGTCGTTCGTTCCTTTTTTTGTTGCCGTTGTTGTTATTGTTGGTCCTCCACAAAATAACGCAGCACATACAAACACACACACACTCGCACACAAATCTGTTAAGTTCCGACTCGAAGCTCGCAAGAACCCACGTTTGTTGTGCTGCCATGGATATATATGTACATACGTTCGTTCGTTAGTACGTTGTTCATTCGTTCGGCTGTGTGTGTGTGTGCGCCTGAGTCTGTGTGTATCGGTTTGTTATTAAAAGCAGCGGCACAAAAAACTGTTGGACTGTTGATTCGCGCCTTGCTTTTCAGTTTTTGTTTTTGAAGAGCCTTAGAACCTAACCTCCCTCCCCATTCACTCCACACCACTATGGCTCTCTTGCGCTCGCTCATATAAAAGGCATGGCGATAGAAGAGAAACGAACCTGACGATGCAATGAAAATATAACCAGCAATAAAGTTTTTTTGCCAGGAGAGAGAGAACATGGACAGGGGACGTACGAGTATCTATTTTCCTTCCTTTCTCCCTCCAATAAATTGTTGACACTTGATCAAGTTATCTGAGAAGATCCTTCAATAGCCTTTGAATGCAATTGAATATCCTGATAGAGAAAAGCAAAACTATAAGTTACCCTAAGGCTCCGATGTTTACCATGATCCTGGTAGTGGTTAGATGTCAATGAAAATGCTATATTGTTGATAAACCTAGTTACATTCGAATTGGGGCACAGAATAAAGTAATGTAAGAAGCGCTGGAAAACCAAACTAGAAGAGAGGAGATTAATAATATTTCTGAGGTCCTGTTATCCGGGTGCCAATTTTCAGATACCTCCCTAATGCTGTTGTTCCTTAACCTACCTTAAGCAATGAAAGAGGGGATCGATACACCGGACCAAATATTGTACAGGCTACAATCGGATCCTTATACCCTCATACCCGAAATGTAGTTACATCATGTACAATTCTGATGCCGGATAATATCAGATTTTGTGTGCCGAGGTCAGGCATCATAGGCAATGAAAAAAATGCCAAATTACTCGCCAGAAGTGTTACAGACCTATATATTATAGAAGTAAACAACTCCAAATATTTTATCGCACGAAGTCTACAAGTGAGGTCATGAGCGAAAAAAATTATGAGTAGACTCAAATGAATATAAGACTAAGCTAATGTTATTGTTTAACAAACAAGAAATGATCAGACTGACACTGGACATATCAGCCTAAAGGAAGCAGCAGATGTGGAGCGAACCGTAGGCACATTTAGCTTTTGCAGCCCTCCGAACGCACTGCTGGGAAAATGACATTATTCACGACCTAAATAAATAGAAAAGGCTGGAAGACTTCAATAGGAACACTAAATTCTTTGAAATCTGAAGACTCGGGTAGGGACACCCAGGACTGTTCTTGTACTGTATTAAAATGGTCATAACCGTCAGGTTGGCTGAGCTTTTGTAGTATTATTTTGATTGTCATCATTGTCAGAAAATACAACCTTCTAAGTCATAACAGACTATCAACCGGATCGTATGATGCAACGACAAATATATTTACAATACTAAAAATCAATTTAAATTGATTCCGCTATTTTGCAGTGAAAACCCTGGCTTGTGTCTAACATCTTCACGCAAAAATTCGTGGGTGATCCTCTTGGTCAAGCCATCTAAATCTTGATAGGGAAAATTAATTAAATTAAAAATCAAGACCTATAAAGGGAAGTGATTATTTCATGGCGGAACATACTTCAGTAGGCTTCCACGGACTTGGTGTTGGAAGACTTCCCACCCGCAAATTTCAAAGTTAGACTGAAAACCAGCTAGCGGTTGGTTTTGAGGTATTCGCTGAAAACGCAGAACGAAGATTCGGACAAGTTGACAGTTTGTCGTGTGATCTTTTTAACATCCTGCTGGAAATGGCCATTCGAAATGCAAAGGTGAACAGAAATGGCGCTCTGTACACGAAACAACACATGTTACTCGCCTACGCCGATGATATCGATATAATGGGTCTGGCAGTAAATGGCGAGAATACCATGCAAGACGTCCATTAGACTCGGACCAACAGTGGAACTTGTGAACTACGGCTTCTAGTCAAAGATTTTATACACCTCGGTACCGCCATAAATAAAACTAATGACATTAATTTTGAAATTCAATTCAAAAACAAGGCCACCTCCCGCCAGACCAAACTCATAATCTTCAAGACGCTTATACCCGTGCTGTTATATGGATCTGAATCATGGTTACTTTCACAAGCAAATGAGGCAGCTCTTGGAGTGTTTGAGAGAAAAATTCTCCGAAAGATCTACGGGCCGATCTGTGGCGTCGAATGAACCACGAGTCCATCGTATGGAGCTGCATCGACTTTGGTGGCAAGGCCATGTTGTGCGAATGAATAAAAATGCCCCAGCTCAAAAGGCAGAAGGGGAAGGCCACAAATTAGAAGGAAAATTGCGCGCAAGATGGGGCCGTCAAAATTTGCTGTATTTTGTTATTTGGTTGGTAATACTAAAGTAATCGACCTTCATATGTGTAAGAATCGAGTTCGCTTTAAAATAATAAGTGTACATTATCCGAAAATACTGGAGGACGTTGGTTAGTAACTATATGACATCAATAAACAATAACTTTAAAAATCAATTATTTTTTAGTGGGGAATTTATGGCATTGTCCCACCGAGGGGTATGACAGGAAGACTGATCCTCATCATTTCCCTTAGTTTTTTGTTGGTATATTCTTTGTCGATTGTGTAAATTCCGATCGCTTCTGAATCGTTGAGGTTTTGGTGTTCGAAAACCATGATTTGGTTAGGAAAAATGTGCATAAATTATGCAAGGTTTGGTTAAGGCTTCCGCGATAGAAAGTTCGCTTGGTTGGATGACATAAGTTCAATAATCGTTAATGAGTTGTACGAGGCGTATACGTAATAACGAATTCATGACACCTCCAAGTATGTATGCGCACAGAGGTGCATCACCGATTGCTGCTTTGAATACGTGATCATTGGCATTG